AGGCAACCTTGTGCCACAAGTTACTAACTTTGGGAAGGTATACATAAACGTCCCTTTTGTTGCTGGGGGTCATCTCAATAACCAGGCACCCAAACCGGCTTTTGTCTTGTCGTCTTTCCACGTTCCTGCGGCCCTTCCTCCCGAAACCAATAGATCCCTACAACTATCATTTCTATTAAGACAACTTCTGCAGATATGGTGCCTAATCTCGCGGTGCTGACTTTAATTGGGCACTGATCTCGGCTTTCTTGCCCCCTAATTACTACGGGAGCCTCCATTTTTCTATCCTGTAAACAGAGAGTAACTTATCTCCATTTTAGGGAATTCAGTGCAAGGAGAGAACACTTTCATCCTGGGCAGGGGTCGCAGGTGCCTGCACCCCAGTGACTGCTGGAGTTCGGGTGGGCTCGGGGGGCTTTCTCTCGGCTTCCGGTGACTTTTATTCCCCCGAGAACGTGGCTTGGGTAGGCGGAAGCTCGATTCTGGCAAGGCAAAAGGCGGTTTCTCAGGAGACGGTAGAGCTCCAGCAAGCCAACTTCCTCCCTAAAGCGCCGGGGAACTGGAAAGGTCAGCTGGCGCGGGCAGTGTGGCAGCACACCCGGCAAACGTCGCGGCCCGAGCGCAGCGACTCCCGCCGAGGCGCAGCCCCGCAGGCGTGTGGAGCTGCCCGGCGCCGAGCGCGCGGGAAGGGCGCTGGACGCGGTCTCCGCCTCCCACCGCGCGGCCGCAGACATCGCCGCCTCGGTCCCGACGCCCTCAGCAGCGCAACCGGAGCCACGAGCGCCCGACGCTGGAGCTCCTGGAAGCCGCGCACGGCCGGCAGCGCACGGTCAGGCAGCCGTTCCAGTTCCGGTTCCGCCCAGCCCGCCCGGTGGCCGCCAGCACACACACCCACACGCAGACGCCAGGCATGCGCATGAGGGATGGGCAGGGGCAGGCACGCAGGGTCGGGGCTGTCGGGGTCTTCCAGCGGAGGGGGCGGGGCTCTGAGCAGAGGGGGCGGGGCTACAGGGCGGGGCGGGGCTCTAGCGACTGGGGCGGGGTTATGTGCAGCGGTGGGGGGGCAGGGCCGGGCTGTAGGCTGACGGGGGCGGGGTCTGCGCCCCGGGAGCGAGGTTATAGGGTGGTGGGGCTGGATTCGGCGAGCCGCTGGGGCGACTTTGGGCCGCTCGGGGCGGTACTGTGGGCTGGAGGAGAGGCTGTAGGCTGGCGGGGCGAGACTCTGAACTGGAAGCCAGGCTTTGGGGCGGCGAGGGCGAGACTTCCCGTGACTGGGGCTGGACTCTGGGAGCTAGGCCTTGGCGTGGCAGGGAAGAGGACCAGCTGGGGAGAGATTCTGCGTGGCGGGGCTGGACAAGCTCCGCGGGTTTGAGCTGGGTTGCGGCCGGCGGAGGCGTGCTCCGCGTGGGCGTGACTGAATTGAGGGTGGCAGGGATCAGGCTCTGTGGGGAAGAGGGCGGGGTCTGCGTGGAGGAGGCGGGATCAGGGTTGACAGAGCGTGGCTGTTGGACCTGGTGATGTGCTACTGAGTGGCAGGGATCACGACCAGTAGGGCAGTAGTCTGCATGGCGGAGGCGGGGCTCTGTGGCTTGGGGGCGGGGCTATGACTGTGGGGGCGAGTCTTTAAATGTAAGGCTCGGGATTGGTACGCGCGGAGCTCTGGGAACGCTGGCAAATTTCTTGCCGGCAGGGGCGGGCTCTGGCAGGACTCAGGAAGGAGGAGCTACACGGGTCGGGGGCGGGGCTAGGCGGCGGGGGCGGGGCTCGGCGGGCCGGCGCGGAGGGGAAGCCGGAAGCAGCCACGGCCCGGCGCGGGAGCCATGGCGGGCGTCAAAGGTATCTCTGTTCTCTGATGCCGGCGAGTGGTCCTCAGACCCATACTCATCCCCTCTGCGTGAGGGCGTCCCGTCCCCCTCGCCCCGGAGCGGCGGACAACCGTGTCCGGCCCTTGGGTTCCTCCTTAGGCACTGGCGTCCCGGATCTGGGAGGAGCCTTCTCGGGACCCCGCGGGCCGGGAACGTCCCCTCGTCCCCCAGCCCCGGGTTCACTTCCCGCATGCCCGCCCCAGAACCGAAGACCCCGCCCCATCCCGCACTTTCCGAAGACCCTTTGTCTGCAGGTGCTAGGCGTCCCATATGGGCCGAGTCCGCTGCGGGCGCGTGTGGATGGAGAGTACTCAGGACGGCGTCCCTCTTGTAGCCCCGGGTCCAGCCTGGGTGGATTCAGCGTCCCTCTCGTAGGGGTCTTTGAATGGGACAAGTGACGCAGAGAGGACCAGGAACCACACCTTCCGAGGGCTCGGGTGGAATAATTGCGAGGGTCCGGAAGAGGTGATTGCGAGGCTGCCTGTAATTTGGTCTTGGAGTAGTCTAACTTGTTGCTGGATCTGCGTCCCGAAGTGCTTGCTATTTGTACAGAGATCGTCCCTCTGCAGGTCATCTGTGCCGGTCCACAGCCTGTGTGCAGTGTGTAATGCTACCTGTGCGCATGAGTGTGAGGGCTCGCAGGGCATTGATCTGAGTTGTGCACTGTGAGCGGCAGATGCATCTTATTCTTTCTGGCCCACTTTCACGTTCAGTATCAGTTGAGTAAGCATGGTTTTCTTGGATGGTGTCCAGTGTGCAAAACATTCTTGTGAAGCCATTGTAGGAGACAGGTGTCTTAGGAGGACACCTGTGTGTAGACACGGCGGGAGGCTACCACACAGTAACAGTATTGTGTGCCCTGTGTTAGAAATTGGGATGTAAGAAAAAGGAAAATGGGCTGTGGAATGGAGAATGACTAAGAGGTGGAAGCATTTTGCAGTTCAGCTTTTACTGAGGAGCTACTGTATGGACGTTGGATACTTGGGATACAAGGATGAGAGTTATGAGTTATTGTTGAGTGACAGCTGGAAAGAATTACATTGCTCTGCGTGTGTGTTCTATTTAATCAAGTTCAGATCATGCTGACTATCGTGGGTACTGATCTGAGGAGCTGCAACTTGCAGGAAGAGGGAATTTTAGAGATGGAGACATAAAGGGAGCACACACATCACGTGGCCGGCAGCATGATACAGCAGTGGGAGGAACACCAGCGCTGGCTGGCAACGGCGGCTGGGAAGGGGTGAGAACTCGTGTCCTGCGGCCTTCGAAGGGAGGCTGGCCCTGCCAACAGCTTGATTTCAGAAGTTTCACCTCCAGAATGCTGTTGCTCTGAGTCACCAGCTGGTGACACTTTATAACTGAAGCCTTAGGAAACAAATAGAAATGGGCTTGCCTAACTCAGGGAGGTTAGCTCCAGGGAGGAAGACTTCACAGGAGAGGCAGTGCCTGAATGCAGGGATCCATAAGGCTTCTGCTAAGGGGCAGGACAAGGGTGCAGCATATTTCCAGTGGAGAGAACGGCCTGGATGTGGGGCTCGGTGTGAAAGAACATACCTTGTTCTTTGCAAGAACTCGGGGAATGGAAAGGTTAAAGCTGGGTAAGGGTCAGACTGCCGAGTGTCAGGTGCCGGCACGTGTGTATCTGCTTGTCTGTCCGTGCAAGCAGTTGCCGAGTGGCCCTGCCAGCCAGTGTGTATCTGTAGCAGTGCTTGGGGATTTATTGGAAAAGCCAACAGTGGCAGTGGGCAAGAGATGTGAGGCCTTTCGCATGGGCCGTAGCAGACAGAGTTCAGGCAGAGAGGGTGCATGGATGGAACGAGGGCAGGCTCACTGCGCCACCTCACTTATTCTCTGCTGGACGTAGAATGTGGCTGGGGTCTGTGCTCTGGGCAGGACCAAGGAAGACTTGCAGCGCCTGTGGGGAGGAGCAGGTGGGTCCTGCCTGCGTGTTGGCTACACGGGCAGAGAAGGCCTGGCTCTCTGGACCTGCTGTGGGCTGCAGCCCTGCATGTGGCTGGACTCTCTACCAGTAGTGCGTTGTTGGCAAATTCTCAGCAGAATAGGATTGGATTCTTAGTCAGCTCCAATGTTAAGTAGGGCTACAAAGCGTCAGGCAGAAATTCAATAGTGAACTTTGAGAGATTGGTGTCAGAACAGAATGAAAAAAAGTGTGTGGTTCCGAGCCACGTCTCTGGAGAAGCTATGTAGATGGTTAGGCCCAGAGGAGGAGGGAGAGCCAGCTGGGAAAAGGTTGTCTGATGAAATGTGCGTGAAAAGTTACTTCCCCTTCCTGCCCTACACCCACTGAAAAGTGGCCTGTCACAGTGGCACTTGGGAGGCTGAGGCAGGAGCCTTGAGTCTCAGGCCAGCCATGATAACGTTTTCCCCTTAAGTCTCCTCCAAGAGTAATACAAAAGCAGTGAAAAAGATCAATTTAATCAGGGAATAATCGTGAAGGATATTGGCAAGGGAATACATTGTTCAGTACTCTTGATTCCTTTGGTTTTTTTCTTCTTATCAAAGAACAAGGCAGAAAACCCACATCTGTACCATTTACTGAGTATCTCCTTTAGCAAGGGCTTCACTCAGGTGAAGGCAGGTAAGTGTGTTGCTCTCCCCGAGTTGTACAGGTTGCCTGCTGGCCTCTAGTGGCGGGTGGAGGGAATTCATGCAGCAGGTATGCAGTTGCCCAACTGTGGTTGCTGAGTTTCTTCCAGTTTTGATTTTAAAGTGATAGACACAGTTAGGCTGGTGGTGCATGTGTGTTATCCCAGCCCCCTGGAAGGCTAAGGCAGGAGGATCGAGAGTTCGAGTCCAGCACAGGCAACTTAGCAGCTTAGCAAGACTCTCAAAATGATCACGAAAAGCAGGGGATGTGACTCGATGCAGAGGCCCCAGTGCTACACAAATAAAGTGGTGGGCATGGTTGGTTGTAAGCAGACAGCCTGGCTCAGTCATTGATTTGTCATGGTGTGGAGCTAGGCAGCCCGGGATCAGGGTGTGGGTGGATCTGGTTCTGGCAAGGGCCCGCTTCGTGGTCTGTAGTTGGTGGCTTGCTGGGGAGGGAGGTGAGGGCCTGGAGGGAGAACAGCTCTTTCTCCAAGACACTGAGCCCGGTGGGGAGGTCTAACTCCAGCCTCCTCCCCGACGTGCTTCCTGATCGCTTCCCACCCAGAGTTGGGGCTTCTGTGTGTGAATTCACGGGGCACTCCAGCACAGTCTGTTAGGTGTGAGATCGGTTAATAGAATAAGTACTGAACAACATGTGCTCAAATGTGGGACCTTTTTCCCTTTTCAAATAAAATTTTTTATTGAGACAGTTATGTACTCTAAAATTGATCTTTTGTGTGCAGAATTCTGAGTTGTGGTACATTTCCAAGGTTGCACAAGCCTCACTGCCATCTGGTTCCACAAGGATGGTCACCCCATAGCAGTTCTGTCCCATTGGTGGTCCCTCCCATTCCCTGGGGTCCCTCTCACCAGCCTCCAGAGAGGCTGCTCCAGGATTTTCAACCCTTGGTTGTGTTCTTCACAGCTCTGGTGGCGCTGTCCTTCAGTGGGGCGATCGGGCTGACGTTTCTCATGCTGGGATGTGCCTTGGAGGATTATGGGTAAGTTACCATGTCATCTCTCTGTCTTTGTCACTGTTGGTACAGGTGTTAGAGAGTTGGATCAATTTAGCACCAAGTGCTAATCAATGAGTGAATAAAGCTCGGATTACGAATCTAGCCCCTTGGGGCACAGCTCTTTTTAAAATCAATACATGCATTTAATAAGCCTTGTTAAGCTCCTGCTCTGGGCCAGCTGGGGGTGGGAACTTGAGTGCTACCCTTAGAGAAGCTGCTTGCATGAGAGGGATCGCAGCTGTCCCAGTTCTTGGAGGAAGCACGCCTCGCTCTTGGGGCAGCCAGGGAGAGCCGCATGGCAGAGGTGTACTTGATCAAGACTTGGTGGGTAGGTAAGTTTCTCTGGGTGATGAGTGAGGGGACGACAGCAGAAGGAGCAACCAGTAGCTTTCTTTATTCCACACCTCACAGAAGGGGAATTGGTGCCGGGCACAGTGCGTGTATTGCACCTGTAGTACCAGCACTTAGGGAGGCTGCGGAGGTGGGAGGACACAAGTTCAGGGCAACTTAGAAAGAGCATGTCTCCAAGATGAAAGGGCCGAGGATCCCAGCCAGTGGTAGGCCCTGGGTGTGAGTCCTGCACCCCCCCAAGGGAGTCGGTCGCTCTGTAACTGGCTCGAGGGCCCTGGGTGCCCTGTGATGGCAGGTGGGTTGTATTGCTGTAGGCAGGGGAGCTGGGCAGGTTCCTGAGGGTGTTGTGTTTACAGGTAACTCTGGCCAGGTGTGAGATGAGGTAGGAGGTTGGGTGTGTGGTCGGGAGAGCACTGAGAGGCTGTTGACGTAGAGCCCGCAGGACAGCCCTGCAGTGGGAACTCTGCCAGGCCCGGCCCCAGAGAGTTCTGTGCAGCTTCCGGATCAGCTGAGCGCACAGCAGGGGATCGAGTCGTGTGAGGACAGTGGTGAGCGGCTCAGGTCCGTCATTGTCCTTGATGGGCTCAGCATGATCGCAGAAATGGCTTCAGCGTGACATAAGACTAACACGGTATCTTCCCAGTGCACCCTGGCTATTGCTTTATTCTGGCCTCAGAGATAGCAGTCACTCCTGTCCCTATCCCCAGCTGCCAGCCCAGAGCCCAGAGCTCAGACTTTCCCAGGCCGCCTAGCAGGAGGATGGAGGTGGAAGTGGCCTTGGATTGTCTCTTGGTGGAGGTTTCTGTGATTCCAAGTCCAGGTGCTGTGTAGTGACACACTGCTTGTGGTTCCTGAAGGCCCTCGAGGAGCTGACCCGCTGCCACTGCAGACAGGTGGATTGATTGTGTCTGTGCCTGATAGCGCCCCAAGACACCTGGCCCAGCAGGGCTGGCTGCCGCCCTGGGTGAGGCTTATCTCGCATGCCATGTGCTGTCTATGACACGGGCAGTAGAGATGCAGAGCCTGTGCTTCCAAAGCCCAGCACTTGCTTTTGGTCCTCTCAGGCTGGCAGCCTCTTGGCTGCCGAGTTACTGACTGGTGTCATTTCAGGGTTTCAGTTTCTCCTCTAACCGAGTGTGCTACATGAACAGCTTGGCTGCGTCTGGACACTTCCGGGAGTGCTGACGCTCAGGTTGCTTTTCAGGAAACTGACCCTGTACCTCAGGAAGAGCCGGAGGCTGGGCCGGGTGACAGCTGCACCCCCCGAGCCTCTTCCCCTGCTCTGTGTCTCCTTTCCTCCTGGGAAGAGAAGGTCTTGCACCGGAGAGCTCGCAGAGGCCGGGCGCCCCGCTGTGTGCTGACTTGAAGCTCACTGGCCCCTGTCTGGCTTCAGAGGTCCTCGCTGTGGCCAGGGCCCTTTCCCTTCTTGTTTTTCTGCCCCTCCTCTTCCCTCCTGGATGGCGCCCACCAGGAGGCTTCGGCAGTACCCATGCAGTCTGTGTTTCTGGTTTCGTGGGGGTGTGTGTTTGTAAAAGTGAAAGGAGAATCAGTTTTTTCCCTAAGGACCTGAGCATTGTAAATGCCTGACTGATGAGGACAAAGATGATAGTGTTTATAGAGCAAGCGCAGTTGGGAACCGGATGACAGTTTTGAACAAACGTGAACTCGTGAAACTTGGATAGAAAGCTCTGGGGCTGTGTGCTGCGGCGGGTTTCTTCTTTGTGAACTAGTCTCAGAGGTCAGAGCACACCGGAAGCCTTAGTAGCAGGCCTATCTCTTCTCGTCCCTCCTCTGCTTTTCATTCATTCACCAAGTATGAGCGGAGCGCCTCGTTCTCAGCGCAGGGGACACGTAGTGACTGAGCCAGCGTAGCCCTGTCCCTGTGAGTGAGGAGACATGCTGGAGTTAAGGGCTCCTGAGCCGGGGTGTGAGCGCTCCTGCAGGCTGGGTGGCTGGCCTGGCTCTGACTGATGGCATGTGTGAGCGAGGGCCCGTGCAGGAGTGAGCTCCGCGGGGCGCAGCAGCCACCGGTTAGGAGAGTGAGGGAAACGGTGCAGAAGGAGCGAGGCGTGAGAGCTGGTGGGCCTTTGAGCCCTGGGCCAGGAATTTGAGTTTCCTTTTAAAGCACTAGAGGCTTCGAGATTCGCACACACTCTGTGAGATTACCATGTGCCAGCCAGCCTGCTGCGTTCAGCAGGGAGAGTAGAGTTGACTCTGTCCTTTTATTTGCTTCGTTTTGTTTTTGTCTTTTTGAGACGGGTCTCTCTATGTAGCTCAAGCTGGCCTTGAACTCACTTTGTAGCCCAGGCTGGCCTCAAACTCACAATTATCCTCCTGCCTCAGCCTCCCCAGTGCTGAGATGAAAGGTGTGTACCACCACGCCTGGCTAGACTGTAAAGAAATTGCACCTCAGTAATACAGAAAACAGTAACATTTGTAGGTCGTACCTTCTGCAGTTGTTTCTTTTTTCTTTTTTAAAGAGAAAAAATAGTGAAAAAAACCCCAAAACAAAACATTAGAAACAATACACAATTTCTCTAAACAAAATAATAGGAATTCAACAGTGGTTGTTAAATTGCATATTGTTGTCTTCAAATTAGTTGTTCAGATTACCAGATATAACCATGCAAAATTGGTCAAAAATTATAAAAAATAAAAAGGAGAAAGCATCATACAGTGATATATGTACATTCATGTTTATAACAGCGCAATTTATCTAGATAAATCTTGAAACACCCCAAATGCTCGTCACTGAGGAATGGATAAAAAAGATACGATATTTTTGCACAATGGAGTATTACTCAGCTATAAAAAAAGATAAACCTGAGGTTTTTGTAGGTGAATAGATTCAACTAGATACCTACTCCTAAGTGCAACAGATCACCTGCGCGCGTCATCATCCTGTCGTCTCGCTAGTGTAAGAACCTGAAAGAGTAAATACAGCCTGTAAAGTGCAGTAGACCTTGTGAAAGGGAAAGAATCTGTTCCAAGGGAGGGACCAACCGGGATGAGGAGAGGAGAAAGGAGAGAAAGGAGGAAACAGAAAAGACACATAAATATTCATGTGTCTACACAGGAGAGCTTGGGAAATTGTACTGCTGATTTCTAGTGGTCTATTGAAAGCAGCGTTCAGTCTTTTGTCTTGGAGGTAGAATTTTGCCATGCATTTCAGGCTGGCCTTGAGCTTACTTTGTAGCCCACGCTGGCTTCACACTTGCAAAGGCCCTACAGCAGCTACGCATACGCTAAGAACCAGTAGTTTCCGAATCATCAGTGTTATCTTGGTGGGGATCATCTTGTATTTTAATAACCATAACTGGTCAGTTGTTTGACCCAGGCATTTAAAATAACGATTTTGAAACAAGAGGATGTCTTGAATTAACTGTGGCTTCCCCTGGGCACCCGCAGCGTGTACTGGCCCCTGTTCGTGCTGCTCTTCCACGCCATCTCACCCCTGCCCCATTTCATCGCCAAGAGGGTCACCTATGACTCGGATGCCGCCAGCAGCGCTTGCCGGGAGCTGGCCTACTTCTTCACCACCGGGATCGTCGTTTCCGCCTTTGGGTTCCCTGTCATTCTGGCTCGCGTGGATGTGGTGAGTTTTGTTGTCTGCTGTTTCCCTCGTCTGTCACAAGTTTACTTCCTGTGTCAGGCAGATGCGTCTCAGCCTCTTTCTTGCTCTGCCGTCTCTGCCCGTCCGTTCTCAGTGGTGCTTTTCCAGCGCTTGCCTTGTGTTAGCCAGACCATAGTGTGTCTTGCTTTTTCTGCTTTACACTGTGCTCTGGGTTTGTTCTTCAGTCTCTGCATCTGAAACTATCGGTCAGTGCAGATGACTGCACTAGAAATACTTGTCTAATTACGAGGTGAAGATCCTGTTAGAGCCTTTGCCGATGGATCCTGGGGTTGACTCTCCATATAACCCTTACGGGGAGCAGGGTGTCTGTCAGTTCCTCTGCTCAGAGAGACACAGAGTAAGATGACGTCCACAGCCAGTGTAGTTTCCTTTGTCTCCAAAACTCACACTGTGAATGTAGTTGGTTTAGTTCTTTGTTGTTTGCTGTCTTTCCCACTCTGCTTTTATTTTGCCTGTTCTGTATTTCAATTTCATGAAACCTTCACTTGAGCCCTTGACTGGGCAAATCTGTGCATATCTTGTTCATTCGTGTACTAATCACATATCTTTGGAGCATCTACTGCTGGTAAAGGACCAGAAACCGTCCGAGGGCCCAGGATCCTATAGACTTTTTTTAAAAAATTAAATATATTTGGTACAGGGTCTCCTTATGCAGCTCAGACTTGTAGTGATCCTCCTGTTTTCAGCCTCCCCAGAGCTGGGATTACAGGCATGTGCCATCATGCCCGGTCTTGGTGGCTGACTCAGCACACCTGGGGCCAAGGCCAGTGTGGCATGTGGTGCCAGGGATTGAACCCCAGTCCCTGCGCTGGCCTAAGCAGTGCTTAGTCCACTGAACTATCTCGTTTCCATAGACTTT